GTTTCAACTGTCATTATCAATGAAAGTAGTGACTAAGTGATGACGTCACAAAAATCTGCTTTTAGAATTGTATATTTTGAGCACATAGCCTGAAAGGACACCATAAAATACCTCTAAATGCGCAAAATCAGTTTGATCTGTTACAAATCGCCTGAGATATGTACACATGAGTAAAGCCTTTTCCCCCATCAAACTGTAACAGCCTTGGTTAAAAAATATAATTGTAAAAAGATAATAAAAGATCAAAACTTCGAACGAAATTAAAATTCAATTTCAATCCATTTACTGTATTCTTTACATTACTACAAGCTGTGGAATGTTCTTAGAATTTGTTTAGCTTAAGCCTTTCTTTTCATAAGCCGTTTTTAACTTTTACTATTTTCAAGGCTTGCGTTCTTATAAGCTTGTTCTCAAAGAAAGTATATGTATTTATGATATAAAGGTTTTATGATTTTTTGGTGATGAAATTTAAAAGATAATAAGGAATCTGACCGCAAAAATGGTGCAGAGTAAAACTTTTAACCTTTAGTCGCTAGTCACTGCCAAGTTCTTTATTTTTAACTTAATATTTTCATAAAATCAATATAACGAACATTAACATCAAGAAAACTTGTCTTTGGACAAAAATTCTAAGCATTTCTCGAAATGAGGTCGTAATTTGTATTAGTGTATTGGAATAGAGGCCGATAAGATGAGGTATTAGTCTTTCTCATCACTTCATTTCATGAAAAACTTATTGCATGGAGCGTCCAGATCAATAAACCCTTTCTAATTACTCCACAGGTCTACAGAGAGCCATACTATACAAGAATTCACTTACCCAAGGTTTTACAGTAACGTGGAAGCCGGCAGCCTCTGCTATCACGTGCAAATGAAACTGAAAAGTTCTAGTTATGGGAAAATATCAAATTCTCTCTCGACTGTGTACACTTTTGCAATGTGACAATGGGACTTATTTCGAGATCTCAAGATTTCCTGCCACCCAGGGCCAAAAACAACAAGAACCATACCAAAAGGCAGATAATAATACAAATTAGGATATTGATCCTATGTCACAACAATCCCAAATAAGACGAAACTTCACAGGAAAGAAACTAAGCCGATAAAGTAGTATGTGGTTTCTTTTGATCTTCTGTTTGAAAAGTAATTGGAGGCATTACCTGAATTCATTGATAAGAGGAAATAGAGCAGCTTGGGCAATTTTTGAAAGTAGTAATAAAAAACAACAGATTAATCAAGGTGTTCTCATCGTGCACAAATATTTGCATGAAAACCGGTGCTAGGCAGTGTAAAAATTTAACAAAGAATCAGTATGAGACTTTGATAATGTTTTTTCTTCATTTGTCACGCCTAAATTTAAAGTCTTTCCCAAAAACAAAACATAGGGAGTTGCATTGGTGTATTTTAGATCTTTAACGATCTTAATTTCTAAATAATAGCAGTGACAGCAGGCCCTCTAATACAACTGTACTTAGGTTCAATTAGGATTTTCATCATTACAACTGCAACAATTGTCCTTAATCGCATTTACATCTAATTAGTTTATTACATAGCCAAGTGAATTAAATACTTAATCGAAAATATGAATTTCGAAAATATTAAGCTTCATTTATCTAAAGTTGTTTTGAGTTTTGATGCAACTTGTGCAAACTTTTACGTATTTATATAATTTCGGTGCAACTTTTACGCATACAACTTGTACATTTTTATAGTAATGGAACCTCAAGGGCGTTTTCGAACAAAAAAACTCTCAACAACAATAGATACGAAGAAAAAATTCCCATAAAATGAATAAAATCAATTTCACGCATTTGTACTGTTTTGTACTGTTTTTGATATTTCAGCTATCTACGTTACTTAAGTTGGAACACAAAAAAATATAAGAAATTTGTAAAATGCCGACGTTATTTGAAAAGCTTAAAGAGATTGCTTCTAACATGGGGGTCTAACTAAAATTGCAGGCGTTTAAGGCCAAAATGAATAGCAACTTGCAGGCGTTTAAGGCCCTGTTGAGCTTCCTTATGATCATCCCAAAGTACTCGTTTAGCTTCTGTGTTCGAAAATATTGAAGATTGAAGTTCGGCTGATCCAAGAAATAACAGGCAAAGCTTTATCATCAAAACTTTGCTTCTTTGCTTTGCGATATCAATCTCGCAGTACATTGTGACAAAAACAAAGTTACGATCCAAAATAGTTGCCGGTACAAAATGCTTTCGACCTGTTTCCATTCTTACCAGCCGCCGTTTTATTACTAAGTAATCTACTTTGGATTAAAACTTTGTAACCAAATCGATACGTCTTTCGTTTGTTATCATTTGGTTAATCAGTTTTCAAATTATTTCAATAATAGTCTTCAAAAACCAAGAAATTGGATAATATGTTTGAGAGGAGGCTGTCTAAAAACAGCATTAAAACCAGCATGTCACGTGCTGGAGCAGAGCAGACTGAAAAAAACAGGGAGCATCTTCAAAACCAGAAAATAAAGTGCGTCTTAAAAAAAAGCTGAAAAAGAGAATACGTTTAATTAAATCATGTCTAGGCCCCAGATTAGATCAATGCCAAACAAATACCCCCACAGGACTCTAATCTCGGTACCTTTTTCCTTTATGAATGGTCTGAAACGTCCCAGTAGGGTTTATGAATAACGACCACACTAAAATGCAAGTAAAAGCTCAGCAAATTCTGTTTATTTCCTTTTGCTTGAGGTTGTTTACCATTGCTGTTGGTATATCTAAAATCCATCTAGGCACAAATAATACACCTTGCATAGGTTCGTACTCGGTCGTCATAGGATCGATGTAAACTGGAAACTAATTCGTCACAGGTCTTTCACTCTGATTGATTTAACTATTTGTGTATTGTTATTAAAGTAAAAACAATTCGCGTTAGAGTTATTGATAAAATGACAAAGTTAAAAAATGATAAAATTATCCAACTTATCAAAGCTCTATTATATTCAGAACAGCGGATTATAGCTCAGGAACGTGGAAAATTTCCTCAAAACATTTAATCACTTATATCAAGGCATTTGTGTATTTTGATAACAAATTGAAGCTTTAATACCAACACTGCTTTAATGATTTTTTATATTAATTCAATCATTAATTCATTTCAAAACATATGATTCTGTTATCAGCTTAATCATCTGATACTCGCTTAGTTTTATTGCATGGTTTTTTAGAGATTTGGAAATTCAAGTTATAACAACGGCCTAGCTTTGATACTTTTCTACAGATATTGAAGCTAGAAAGACCATGAGAGAACATAAAAATGTGCGTCAGTTGTGCGGCAGACAAAAGCCTATCAAACGTTTAATTTCTAGAGAACGTGACTGTGTTTTTGTTCTAGCGTTTATGAAATCATTCAACTTCATACTCACTTAGGTTTTGCTTCATTCCATGAAAAATAGCTTATTTGTTGTGTTTACTTGATGTATTTAACGCTATGCACAGGGGAACGAGATACCCAACCCCTTAAGCAGGAAGACCGTGTTCCTTTCTCTCTGCTTTAGATCAGGGGCTTACGGACAAAGATTGGTCGAGCCAAAACTAATCAGCTGCACCCTGCTTTTTTGTGCTTATCATAAATTCGATCTGTGAATATTCTGTTCTGTGAATAAGTAACTCCGATTACAGTTAGTTCTAGACAACCAAATAATTCTGCTCTCCATGATACCATTTTCTAAACAATAATTTCTAACCAGGAACAAAGTATTTCTGGGTATCAAAACAGTCTTACAACTAACCCTCATTCGTTGCACCTAAATCTAGATTATACGACTGCCTATGATCTGTGTGTTATCAAACAAAATTGCAAACTTGAAAAAGCCTTACTCTCCCACGCTTGCTTAAAATTTCTATCATTAACATTCTCTCAAAATTCAAAATCCAATACGTTCCTTCATACATTACTGCGAAGTTTTTATTTGCAATTTCCATGTGCAACTTTCCCAAATACATACTTTTGATGACAAAGTGAATGTTAAATTTTCTAGGGTAGGCAACCAATTTTTATAACATGTTAACCTTGAATGGCATGGTATTTCTGTTATCAAACGATTTGAAGTTATTAATATACAAACAGTACCAACATTTAAGTATTATTCAACGTTAAGATCAAATGCGAAATGATCCGTTAACGTACAAGTATTTTTCAAGAAAATCTCGTAGTTAATTTTTTTCTTATGACTGTCAAAATGGTGGACAGAAATGAAACATAAGTAGTAATTTGTTTCTTTTCATTCTCTAAACATAGGGGCTCTTAAAGATGCTTTTCCTTAAAAACTATTTTCTTCTGCTTAAATGTGATCAATGTGTTGTCTAGTCCAGCGAAGCCTATTGTATTAAACTACTTTATTTTGAAAGACACGTATGTTTACTTGCACTTAATTACGTAACTAGCTCAAATTCTCTTTGTTGAGGTGGCCTAACATTTTACTATTTTTAATGTCTTTGACTGAAAACAGATGTATGATTTTAAGTTTCCAGATGTTTTTTTATCGGTAAACAAAAATATTTCTGCTTATACAAAACAAAAAAACTGACCAAAACTTTTCGATGAACAAGACACTATACTAGGGGCAAGGTACTTCAAAATATAAAAAGAGTTAGTTCTATCCGATTTGAAGAAATATTATTTCTTCATATGAGGAAAGTTTTTGTGACTTTCGATAACGATTGTAGAAATACAATGTGTGACACTTCTTTTTAAAAAACTGTCAGGAAGAGTCGCGAACTTTATACAAAGGTCTTCCATGATATAAGCAAGCATGTGTCTGAGTTCCCGGGATACCAGGCAGCTGACTGTTTCATTGTTGCTTTCTCAGAATTAAAATATAATCAAATGGTAATTAAAATCATGATTAAAAATGTCATACCTTGGACTGTCCTTGCAGTTTTTGACGTCGATATTGCACATCAGATGTTGCTTTGCGGGTTAAGGACTGTTCGTGTTTTGGCACACCATTAAGCTAAGACTTGATGCCTTTATCCACCTGTGAACAGAAGTCTAGTTAATGACAACAATTGCCGTTATAGTTTCATCAAGGTCTGAAAATGAATAGCAACTTGCAGCACAGACTTCAAGACTGGTTTTTGTGTATGACGCACTAAATTATTTATGCTCAAAGATGTGCAATGTTTTCAAATTATGTTATAGCCACAACGTCCAATCTCTAATTAAAATAACGGTAACCAATTAAAAAACAACGCTTAACCCATATGATAAGATCATTTAAAACTTATCGCGTATATCCTTTGGCTTCATCAAACGAATATCTTCACCTTAAGAGAATCCCATAATCCTGCTAAATCTTGTTATCAAACCATCGTTTAATGAAATCATGTGTCGATTTGAAAATGTTTGAGAAACGAATGAAAGAAGACGAGAACTGACGACATGATTGAAAATGACCTCTTCAATAATAAGTAAGATTCCTTTAGCATCGAATTTTTATCTCAAAATTAATTTAAAAAAGCTGTTAACAGAATCAAGGCAGTGAGGAAGCTTAGTCCAAGTACAATCATTTGAAGTGGAAATATAAAAAATTTTCTTAACTAATCTGAATATTTGCAAAACATGTTTTGGAAGAGGCAGATTCGACATGTTATGTTGTCTCTAAAAACCAAATCTAACAAAATTAAATCTCAAAAAACGCAAAATGAACCACAATTACACGAATCAAACAAGACTCACTCATATGTTATTGCTTGAATGTTAAGCAATACTCAAATGCCGCTTGAAAAAGCGAAAAGACGAACAAATTGACATTAAAAGCCCAGTACTAACATTTGAAACGCACAGACCCAAGTCACTTTGCGGGGCATATTTATTACTTTTTAAATTCTAGGCCGTAACAACGCAGTCAAATTATTTCTTAGTTGGTGAGAAAAAACTTAGTATTGAAAGAAAAATTGTAACTAACACACCAATAAATATTATCAATTTAAAGTGGAATTAGGTCTTAGAAATAGTTAACTCAATAGATACTCAAGCTCGTCTTCTCTTCTTATTATGGCATTATGAATCTTTGCCTAAAGAATGTCTTAACAAATCCAAAATCATTCAAATTTCAAGTATTCCTTTCCCCCAATGCCACAAACCTAGCTGTTTATCATCACTTGACAATGATAAATTGCCAAATCCAGCATCATGAAACATACTACATCTATTTAGATTCGTTTTTATGTAATTTACATCTGATTATCTATCTCGCATTTTCGAATTACGATTTCTGAAAGATTTCATGTATATAAATGATATTTAAATGAAAATGAAAATAAATCACTTTTGAAGACAATATCAATGCTCATGAACGACACAGCGTTTTTCAATCATGGACAGCACATACAATTGCTTTAAATAATTGTCTTAAGAAAGATGGTTGGCTGCAAAAAACTGCACTGCAAGCTGTCCAATAGAATAGAAAAGGTGGTAAAATGAAATTGGGGGTATATTGTACAATAATCTGTACCCAAATCTGGAACATTAAATTTCCCACCTAATTTAAATAAATTTAAAAAGACACCTGAATTACAATTATCCTACACAGCACTTACAAAAAATCAAAACCTAGACTAAAGCAAGCTTAAATAAAGTAGCAATATCGTTTAATAGGCTTTTCTGGGTTCTTGGTAGAAATTTACCATATCTTTTTGCATTAAAGAATTTTCTTATCAGTTTTATCTTATAAAAAGTAATTTTCTTCAAAAATGTGAAGATGCATCTAGTTTTTGTTTGTCGAAAACATTTTTAAACATTGTTCTCAGACTGTATTTCGACGAGGGATTTTTAAACGTATCAACAAGTACCATTTTTTTCGAAAAAGAGGTTTGTGCTTTGCCATTTTAATGAAAACAAACAAACCACTACTCTAGCATGCAGCTGCAATGCTGAAACTGGGGTTCTAGTTAGGAATCAAAAACAGATTGAAGTGTGCTATGAACGGAGGTTCAGAAGTCAAAATCCTGAAAGCGCAACAAAGCGTTCAATGTCCTTACGTTAAGAATCTTGTCTAAAAGATGCACCAGGCTACTTTTGTATGTGAGGTATTACTCAAGTGTCTGTTAATTTCTAGACTTGATATTATGGCAACCAGATTTGGTTTTTTGGCAACCGGATACAATTTTCAGGCCATCGCCGCATTTGCTCATGGGCTCCATGGGGGGACAAGAGAGATTTTAACAACCATAACAAAATACTTTTAAAAAAAGCTTTATAGTTTTGTAAAAAATCGGGGGGCCGTGGCCCCCGTTCCCCCTTTGTCGGGTGACCTGTTGTTACTAATTCTTTCTATTCCATAACTGCATTCCAAAGTTATAACATAATTGCAAAAAAATTTCGTTGAAGAATCAGCTTCAGTCGAAGTTGTACATGACCAATTTCTCATAAATACAGCTGCAAAATCTAAATGTTTTTGCCTGATTGCGAAAACTTTGACTAAGAGAAGTTCCCCGGATGGGAGACCTTCAATCTGCAAGAATTACCAATAGCCTCATCGGAGCTAAACCTATAGTGAGGCTTTTGAAAAGTTTTCAGTGACGTAACAGGTGGCTTGGCTAGCACCAGTCCATTAAGAGCATCTTTAGGCAACATTCTCTTGTTTTTAAAATACTGAAGCAGACAGAAAGCTCGAGTGTGTATTGCTGCATTATTACATGCCTATGCTGCCACAGCCACATCACGACACAAATTTCAGCTGTAGAAGAAGCATAATCCAATAAACATGAAACTGTGCTTATTCATAAAATGCGACAATGAAGCATTGGTTGAAAGTTCAGCCAATGACGCTGCTCCCAAAAGCGGTAGTTTTAAGCCTTTAAAACCCACCAGTTTTCAAAAAACTTCTGCTGGCAATCATATTGCCGAGATGAAATAACCTCAAAGAAGATAAGAGGAAGAGTTTTTTGTTACTTAAGCTCGGTTTTCGCGTGTTATCAGATAAGTGCCCGAAGCCCAAATACCTCGACATCTGTGGACAAGGAAAAATAAAACCTACGTGAATTTTACAGCAAACGAAAATCCCAGGGACACATTTAAAGCAAAACTGACTTGGTTTGTACTAGACGAAGATACTCTATAGTACCACCTAGAATACCATTATTTTTACATCGTGAAAGAATATTGACTTTTGTGAAATATGAACACGATCGTCACAATGTGAACTTTTGGAACACACTTTGCTCTCGATTTAAATTAGACTTTCTATTTTTGATGCATGTAAAAAAGAATTGTTAGTGCAAGAAAGATAGTATTTTCCATCAATGCTTACATGAAAAGACAAAAGCCTTCTCATTTGATTTCATTTGTTTCGAAAACTAGTTACAATGACTCAATAATCTGGACTGCCATGAACTGTCATTTCCCATCAAAATTTTCGCAAATTTAACTTAAAAGATAACTTGTTTTCGCTTAATTCTTATAAGTACTAGATCTTCTTGAGGTAAATATCATTTCCTCTTTTTTGCGTTCATTTTATCAAAATTTATTTCAACATAGCAAGTGCTTCTGAACTTGAGGCCTATTCTTTACATGTATAAATCTATACTAAATATGAGAAAGGTATTCGCTTTACAGACGTACATATATTATAGTTCTGGTGCAACCATCATGTCTTTGTAACAAAGAGGCTCTCTGCACTCCTCATATTCACAAAATTCTTAAGATGGCACTTGTAGCTTAGGGTTCCCTATCTTTTAATGTTTTAGTTCAGTTTCAACACTAATTCTTGTAGGCACAGATAGGCGTTATTTAGAATAACTGCTTAAGATCATCCGTGTGCTATTTTAGGAATTTTTTCATGAGTTTCTCAACATTGTTTTTGTATATATTGACAAGACTTGAGAAAAATATAAACTGTGCTTAATAATCTTGTAAACACAGGCAAACAACAACATCTGTGCATTGCTTTGTGAATAGATATGCATTAGGGTAGTTTTTATTGTATATCTTTGATAAAAATATTGTAACAACAATGCAACAAGGCCAATATTTTCAAGAAAAAAGCAACAGCGTTTTGTATTTCAATTTGCACATTGATACTGTTTGTTTGAATATGCTAGATCACCTGGCTACCTGTCAAATGCAATGTTTTGCAAATCAACGTGAAGGTGAGCTTTCATTGGTTAATGGGAGTACTGAAAACGCATGCATAATATATTCTTATTGCATGATCATTCTATAACGCCAATCGAGATCAAGAAGCAAATATTCATGCTAATGTCTAAGTTTATAAAGCATTGACTATATAATATATATTAGTGTGTCGTGGAAATATAAAACTGTGCTGTGAGAGAAGATTGTGTTGGTTAGTTAAGATATCTATGTAAAAACGTTACTTGGTTTAGCAGCTCCAAGTACGATCATAATAATGATGATGATGATTGTGATTGATTGTAATGATTAATCGCAGGTAGTATGTGATAATCGGGATAAGATTTCAAGCTGATCCCATTTTATTTATCGCAGAAAAATTTCGTCATCGAATTTCATACCCTAATCAGATTCGACTCAAGATTCAATTTCAAAGTCTACTAATACAAGTTGGGCAACTAAATGCATTTTAAATTATTTTGATAGTTAACTAGTTTGAGATCAATTAAAAGATTAGCAGAATTCGAGATCAGTGCGTCAACATGACGATATTAGCTAAATTGGTGTGGTTTAGCATCTGTTTGTAGCTATGATAAAAGTAAATTGGCGACTGAGTGTGGCTATCAAGATTACCAAGAAGAGTATGCAGAACAAAATGCTTACAGTAATTATCATGGAACAAAAAGCGAGAGGTTTTGGAGGCGAAAGATCCTAAGGCCACGTGATACAACACTTGGTTTCAAGAATACCATAAGGGTCTTTGTTGCTGAATATTCATTAGTCTTTTGTACAAATATTCAAGATTTCATTATACTAGTGAAATGGAAATACTTGTGAACTGTGAGACCTCTTTAATATTTCCTGAGCGGTAAAATTGCTAGCTGGTCGGTCAATATCGTGACCTGGTCGGTAAAAGGTCAAATCCCTTTGAGTTTTCACGTGAGTAGGGCGAACTGAAACTCGCGCCGCCCTGAGATTCAATTCAGTTTTCAAACCGATTTGAATTTTCAAGCCTGCTTGAAACTTTCATGTGAACACGTTTTTTCAAATTGGGACGAGCTGAACTTATAATATTAAAACTGTACGGTTTCAACATTTATGCTAGATTCATGAAGTCTTCCGTTGGCATTCTAAAGTGCGCTGGCCATTCCCTGGGTAACATTACACCATCCCATATATATGTCTATCATTTCTCTGTGCATCCAGTGTTATTCCAATATCGTCTCTTCTTTATAAACCTATTCCTGAGTTGCCTGTTCCTTGTTCTACCCTAAATTGCTTGAGAAACCTTCTGTTTCAATGCTGATCCGTGAATTTGGGAAAACGCAGTATTTACAAATTCATTCCAGCCGATTTGAAATATCCATGTGAACGCGAAGGAAATAAGCACACCTGTACTAAACTCAGGCCGGCGTGAGTTTTAAACCTGCCTGAAATTTATCATGTGAAAGGCCTCTAAATCTACACCGTCGAAGAATTTTCAAAGACAGCATGTTATCTACTTGACATCGACATACAAGGTACCACAGCCTGTGACATCATTTCCCTACATCACACAAAGTATTATAGAAAGCATTATAATGAAAATTCGTTACTCTGAGTATCTAGAATACTACATACAAAATATATCTATTTTTTGCCTTACCTCTTTTGTTTTGCACTTCTGCAAAACATTCCAGTTCGCGGATAAATACAATGCTATATTGGGACAACAGAGCCGCAGAGAACTTTCCGCTTCCTATGAAAACCAGACATTAAATCCTAGGTTGGTTACATGTCCAATATCAGAAAAACCAAACACAAGCACAGAGAAATGCGAAATAACCGAGAAACTATTCAAAAATTAGATGCTATGGCAAAAACATGGTTTATCCGTATAAAACTGAATCATATCCACCGCCTGATATTTTGAGACTGTAATCTAACTTTGTGTAACAAAATAGAGAAAATCAAATCCAATATTGTTTAACTGGCTAACATACAGTCTTCTAATAAATCCAAGAACAAGGGGCTTACATAATATAAAATCAAGCAACAAAAGCCATTTTATTTGCATTCCTGACATCATATTAGCAATCAAATCATGTACAGACTGGTTATGTACTTATTGGTCCTCAAACTGGTTTAAAAATTACACATTTATTCTTAAAACAAACAGTTAAAATTATAAATTCACATTGCCGTGAAAGGTTTGAGATAAAATTAGACAAAAGATTGAAGAAAACGTTTTCGATGCATTTTTCCCAAAAATGTCTTCAAACGCTGATGTTCAAATACGATTCTGAAACATTAGCAGTTGAAGGAAATTCAAATATATGGTATTTATCGAGAAAAGAATGTTTCAGTTTAGAAGATGAAGTGTGAAAGTTAAAGGCAATCAAAAGAAATAATTAAGCATGTGAGTGGAATCACTCTCAATGGCTGGTCAATTGTTTATTGACAGATTGCTCAAGCTCCGTTAGTATTTGTCGACTGCCTTTAAGGTTTTCCAAAACACTTCCAAGCTCATCTGCCTGAAAAATGTTGCGACGAAAAGGCTAGAAAAATTGATTCGATTCCTGCATCAGCAGCTCAGAAAACTCTAATGAATGCAGTTCTAAGGCCCAGTTAAAAAGTCGCATTTTACTCGTATCGAATCAATGACGACCAGATCGATGAATACCCAATCAAAGCACGTCAGGGAATCTGGTAGGACTTTAGCGTCACACTTCTGTCGCGCTGTTTCACTGCGAGCCAACACCGAAGCTGCGTCTTCGAATAATGGTATGATGCTTGCACTGGAGATGTAACTGCCAGACTAGAAACGGATCAATTTGATTTGATTTGGCTTGATTTGATCCATCAAAAGCGCGCGACGTTCAAAGCCAAGTCGCGCTTTGGTCGCGTTGTACGACTGACAACAAGGATCTTCTGCGTTGCTTTACATTTGGGTAAAGCTTAATTCCAAATTTAGCACATACGTAATAAGTTTGTCGAACTAAATTACGAGACAACATATTTGATTTTATGTTAGTTACGTACGAAGGATCAACTGGCCCTAAGACTATTCAAATTGAACTAAAACTGCCACAACACCATAGAGAGTGTGCATCTATAACTAGTTATGGATTGCAGTCTCGCGAAATAAATCACAGATAAACCATTGTGAACACATCTCCTGGAAAAACTCTTGGATGTAGTTCTATGAAATAGGCTTTAATTACGCAAATAACAGACCAATTACAATAATTAAGTTAATCCATTGGATACCAGTGTTATCTCAAGAAATCTGTTAAGCAGTACACAGCATATTCTTCGTAAAGCTGCACTTTAAAAAACCCTGTTGGACTCTTATCCAGGGAAAGAGCTAATTCTATTTAACGGACATCTGCAGATACTATTAGGCTAAGTAAAGCTTAAAAGCATATTATTTTTCAAAAAGTTGTTTTAAAAAGTTTGTTGACATTGTCACTAACATAAAAAATGATATCCCCGTGTATTTGAAACCAAGGTATATTTAATGGCAACTTACGATCTGAGTCTTTTGCTAGACACGACCGTTTCTACATTGTTAAACATTCATTACCTCGTTTAGCATTGAGCTTGCCGTCTGCAACGAGGCCAACCCTGGAGGTCAAATGAAGGTTGATCACGCTTGTGTTGATCTTTTCTTGGCAAAGACTTTCTTGCATCAATTTCATCTTTTCGCTTTGCAAAATTAGTAGCCCCCTGCTGCTTAATTCTTCAGGATTTGAGCCTCCTTCTAAACTGGACTTAAGACACAGCGTCCTTATCTCAAAGGAGAACGAGTTTAAAAGCTTCAAAAAATTCTTTGCCCATTCAGCATGAACCACAGTTGTGCTTCCACCTTCTTCCCAAAGGCAAATTCCATCAAAGAATTTGATAATGTTTGTCAAGTTCTCCTCGGATGCGAAGTATTCTGATTCTGGTGCATCACTGTTGCTTTTCGTCTTTAAATTTCTGCAATATTTTACTATTTCTGGAAAAAAGGTGTTCGCTATTTCGCTGAACTCTTTGTAAAGCTCTTCATCTTCTCTAGAATGAGTGTATCTGAAAATGGAGACAATTACTTGAATTAATGGAAAGTTCCAAAATATGATACATTAAATACCCTAGCTGTATCTAGCTTTGGATATAGTGCGACAAGGAGAATTAAGCTGATACTTTGAGGTGATAACAACTGGATGGAAAATTCCTTGAACATGTTGGATATTCTTAGTCAATTTGAACAAAAAGTTATTCAGCCTCAAAACTGAAAATTTTTCAAGAATTGCGACATCCCTTTGAGCTCACAACTACAACCAAACTCAAAACCAATTCAACCAAACGAGTATAAATACTACAAGATTGTCTTTGCGTTAAAAACATTAAAGTGTTATTATATCATTTAGTATCATTAGACACAAAAAGTTTGATGAACCAGGTGAGACGAATCGCAGGGAAGAGCTAGATTAGATAAAGAGCTTCGTACATGAGGATTTCACGCATGATACTATCAGAAATTAAGGTTACATTAAACTGTGTTTTAAGGATATTTTTTTGGATTTAATAGAAAAAAATATATATTAAAAGGTTTACAGAGTTTTCAAGCCAAAAAATCAACAGATAGATCGATAATAGAATCAAAAGGAACCGTAGTGAAAGCTACAAATATGGGTAAGAACAAGTAATGGTCATATCTAAAGAAAACCGAGATTTCAAAACAAAGATAGTTTTTTAGCAAGTAGGACAATATGAATGCTTTATCTTTCACCTTAACCTTAACAGTTGACAACAAAAGCAAAAAGATAAAGAATTCGATAAATGTATTTTTATATCGTAAAACCAACTAACTGTGGCGCCAGAATAAATATATGTCAGCAGCATTGCTTGAAAGCTGTTATTAACACACTGTCTTATTTCAAAATATTTCTTTTTCTGTACACACTGAATAACAAACATTGAATAGCATGTAAACTCGTGGTTCTTAACGTACCTCGCAGCTACTAGAGCTGCATTTTTCCAGCAAATCGTGGCCTTTGAGTACAGTTCTTTTCGAAACAGGTATCCACCGTAATATGTGTAAGGGTAAACATGGCATCCGTCATACTCCAGTTCTGCTATTCCGATTGCTTTCTCGTAAAGTTCTTCAAGAGTAGGGCTTTTACGTGTCGCTTTTATTTCTTCTAAATCTGCTAGATTGCAAATTGCCATTGGGTACCTAAAATAAAAATTTTAGAAAATATCAATGGATCCAATATCAGTAGGATTTTAGAGAACGTTGAATATAAAATTTTTCCTAAGGCACCTATGCATCCCATCTAATCGCTCCCTCTTCTTTTTAAGAAACTAAAATGTGTTTTCTCTCTACCAAGCACATCAAAACACAGGATGCGTTTGCTTGAAAAATTTTGCCGAATTGTTGGTGAAGGAATCATAATGTAGAGGGTGATTGGTTTGGGAGGTTGGCTTTTTGGGGGCAATTGTTTCATCAGAACCTGTACAGTAGATCATACATTCTAAATCATCCAGTCATGAACAGAGCTGTTAGTGCAACCTCGTTTATACTTGATACTTGATAGCCTATACTGCTTTGCTGTTTTCCACAATTTAACTTTAGATGGCCTTCCATTTCTGATAAGAAGTAATTCACTTGTTAAATAATTTCTGTAAAGTTGGAAATATATGGGCAGTTTGTTATAAACTTCCTCCCCTTTCATCATATCATGAGTTTGTAGTTTGGTATAATAGAATCTTGCTATTACAAGTTCTGTAGGGACCAAGAAAAACACTTTGCAATAGCAGGAGCTTGCTGTCAAGTTTTGTCAAGTATTCAAAAAAGTAAACTTAAATATTTGAAATAGTTTGTTTTAATCAGGGCTCATAAGAGTAGGATGTCTGAAAACTGGATTTTCACATGGTATGTCATAAGTTGATGACTCCTACATTATCATAAATTTGTGGCAAAGGATTTTTCACAAGCTTCTATTTTACTATGCAAAGAACTGGACAAATGATTAACTCAATTTAAACTATACATTGGATTGGTCAAGCTGGCCTTCTTAAAATACATATGTGCAATTTGTCTATTAAAGCTTATCTGAATGACTTACTTGTCAAGGTGTCCACCATTAAATAGCAGCCAAAGAAGATCCTGTGGCAAAATTTGGTAGAATAAAAGATTCTTGGGTTATCAAAGTTGCATTTAAATATTGTAAGATCCACAAAAACTTTGTGGGGTTTATCAATGGTATATATCCGGGTGGGAAATTCACGCAAAAGAATTAAAGAGATGAAAATAACTGAAACAAAGGACACATTGATAAATGCATTGGAAGGAAAATGCCCTTACAGTGTTGAAAAACTTCCAAATAAAAATTCAATCATCTATGATATTTTAGACCACATGCTGCAGACTTAGTCAGTAAATTGACATAAAACTCACCTGTTGCAGTGTGGACAATTTTTCACTGTCAGTTTTTGCATCAATTCCAGGATTCATGGCTGACACAACAGCAGCAACTTCCATAAATCTATCGCATTGCATTCCATTCCCTCCAAGATAAAGCCAATCTTTAGAAAACCCAACAAGTGAATCTTGAGAAATAGGACTGCCTCGCTTCACTCCATCTCTTTTTCCATGCCATGTAACTTCAGCAGTTTCTTTGTTGCCAGCCCCAAATGAAATCCATGCATGGTCTTCCGAAAGAACCAGGTGAATGTCATTGTAGCCAATACATTGTGCAGTGGCAACAACAAGCAAAGCCACACCAAAGCAGTCAAGTCTTTTTCCTACAAATTGATCATAAAAATAGCATTTCTATTTTGAGAAGCCATAGAGAAGCCTGTAACCTCAAAGTGTTAAAAACCTGTATCTGTTTACATTTCCCCTTGTAATATCTTTGTAGATACAAATTGATCAAATATTTTGAGGAATATGGAAGTAAGTTACGGGAGCACAGTATATAAGTGAGAGAAATAAGTGAAAATATACTAAGAGAAATAGGAGCAAGTGACATAAACAGAGCAGGACTCAAAACCCATGACAAGTGACTCTTTATGTTGTTTTTCTACCAACTGAGCTACCTAGTCATTTTTTCAAACCTAAGCTCAAAGCCATGCAACTCACACACCAACCTTTCTTTACCAAGTGCACAGGTGAGCCTACCCAAGCAATAGATTGGACCTGCTCTGAGGGAGGAATTCCAATACTAGGGTGGTGGGAGGGGGGGGGGGCATCACAGCCACCAAAATAAAAAATGGTTTAGAGAAACAACATAGCTATTGTGTGCTGGACGATTGGTAGCCATTTGATGGGCTTGATAAACTCTTTTCAATGTTTTTAATAGGCTTGATAAACTCTTTTCAGATTATGCAGAAACTATAAAAAGAGTAGCATTGTTTAGCAATTTTTTCAACAACTTGACTTGATATATGTTGCATGCTTTTGACAAAGCTCCTTCACTATGGCTGTTTTCATAATTTATAATTGTTCGAAATAGGCCATAATTCTAGAATTACGATCGCTCACTTGAATTACAAACAAATGATAAATCAAAACTAATATGCGAGTAGATTAAGATGCTGGTTTAATAGAAGCTTTACTTACCATTCAAGAAACTGTAAATGCTCTGAATATGTGGACGATCCTTAAAGTAAGAAGTTGAAAGCTGACTCCAGACAAAATCGGCAACAGCTTTCACTTTCTCCCTTGTCGAAAAGGCTGCTTTAGTCGAAGCATCTGTGTCACAAAGAAACGTCCTGTCTGCTTCTAAAACAATTCCAAACTTTTGATCAATTAATTTCAGGTATGTTTCGTACATGCTGTAAAGTACGGCGAATTCAAGCACAGGGAAGCCTTCGTCGCTGGTACCTTGCCTTCTGTCGTCAAGAATTGCATTCTTTTTCAGTAAGGATTTGTCAGTTAAGTGATGTTCCATAAAACCAAAAACAAGTGACAAAATGGCTAGATTCGGATCTGGAGATTCAAGTTCATTCTTGAATAGTTTGGCAACTGATTCAAAATCCTTTAATGGAAAGAAATATTTGAGCTCTAATAGATAGTGAAGTTTTTCAGGAACCGCCATTTTTATTTACAATAAGAAACAGAGGCTGACTGTGCGATAACGAGGTTGCACAATCAGTCAAGGAAAAAGCCAAGGACTGAACATTGATATTTCTGGACTTTCGGGATCTTTTCAAAAATTGTGGACAAAAAGCCATAGGGCCATAGCTTCAGTGCTACTAATTAAATAAATTCAAGACATATCAGCTCCGAAAGTTTCCCAATTCTGTGGTTCCTCTGTGAAAATTCACTGTTTCGTTCTGGCGTCTAGTAAAAATGCGGCGGTCTTTTGATAGTGTAATTTTGAATATTTCTTCAAAAGCAGAATTGCCAATATTGATCCTTGGTAACGAATATTGATCCTTAATGACTTCCCAAATTAATATTTTAATATATTTGTATTTTTGGGAGAAAACCTTACACTTATTAAACCTATATATATAATTCTAGAGTTCGAAAGCAAGCAAATTGGAAAACGTTTAGCCATGTTTGTAGAAAAATGTAACACAAATTTTGATTATAAAGTTGTTTCAACTTCATGATTTAACGACACAGAATTAAAAGATACAAAAAATATTCTATGCACTTACAAAAATATTCTATAACCTAACTCAATGAACAGAACGTTGCAAACAGAACAATTTATTATCATAAAATATTCAGCTATACCATAGAACAAAGAAACCAACAAATTCACGCGATGTACTTGTATTTTGACCTGTCAGAAAACAAAACGGGTCTTTCTGAAACAGAACTTGGGAGTAACGTTGACAGGTCTTAAGACAGTTTAATGAACAAACAGAAGTGTGTATTAACCTACATTATAGCCTTTTAGAAAATGTCTAGTTTTGTGGACTACATCTATGCACAAATCTTACTTGCGACATCGAGCCCTATTTTTTCAAGCCTTCTTTTTCAAGAACTTTGAAAACGAGTTGTACAGGAATCACATTGCAAGGGAATGTCAAATTTCTTAGAAAGGAATACTGACTCCACCTGAGTAGCTGGATACATTTCATAGGGATTCTAGTTGGAAAAAGAAAATGCCTAACATAGATTAATTTTCACTGGTCGCTGGCAAATTTCCATTTGAAGCTCAATATAATCAGAAATTATGGGGGGGGTTGGGTGGGGGCAGCAGTACTTTTACAGGAATAGAAGTTAAAAACTCCACTTTACTTGATTACAAATTAATAATGCATGCATTAAACGTATAACAATATAACTACATATCAATTTTATAATTTGGTATTAACGGTAAATTTTTTTAAACGCAATAACTCTTTTTCTTTTTCGTGAAATTTCAGTCTTTTTCTATACAACATTAAATTGAAATATTGACTAATATCTAAGAAATTCAAACTAGCTTAATGCATTCAACAAAACGAGATACTTAAACTGAAAAAAGCGCTTCTTCGCAATATCTATAATAACTAATTCTTTTAATTAAATGGTTGACATAAGTTTTGAACCAAAATAAATAAATAATGCCAAAAAACATTGGAACAAATATCTGTCGCTAAAATACTATATTTATGCTTATTTATGCTTATTTATGCTTATTTATGCTTATTTATGCTTATTTATGCTTATTTATGCTTATTTATGCTTATTTATGCTTATTTATGCTTTATTTATTCTTATTTATGCAAATTCATGCTAACTTATAGTGCTTGAAAACTTCGAGCTATAAAAGTACTAGCAAATTCATAAAATAAATCTCCTTTCAAGGTAACTTTGAGCTTGATTAAAAAATTGAGATCGAGTATGATGACAAAAAGCTTCAAAAACCAAGAATCGCTGCCATATTCACCTGTTATCCCTTCAGAAGAAAAAAGCTTGTTACACAGAGGGGGGTTAATCCTTTACTCTCAAGAGTTAATCTAGGTCTTCTTGGTCCTCGAAGGAGGCTTGAAATCCAATCTAGCTCTGGGGGTCATTACAGTGGGCAGTGGACTCAATGGTTTTGGCTCCCCATATCTTGCAAGTGCTTTACTCTTTCTGTCATTCAACTTCTTCTGTGCACTTCTCTCTAACGTTTCATCGTCACAAGTAGAGACTGGCGTGTTTGGCAAACATTCAGCCTCTTCTATCGATGTGTTCGGAGTTTTTTCATTCACCGGCAATGACTTTGAAGCTACTTGACTGCAGCTAGGTTTCACTGTATAAATGGGCTGTAAAAAGACGATAGAAGCAGGTATAATATGGCGAAGATTAAAATATAAACAAGTCGGCACATATTTTCAACACACAATTTCTTTGAGTTGTCTGGCTATGCACGTCCACATATACGTAACCCAGTGACGGGATCAACGTAACCCAGTGACGGGATACATAGGCAACCAATAGAACTGCTTTGTTACCAGGTATTCAATAAAAATTTTGTACTCGAATACAGCTAAATTCTTTAAAGAAACACGATGGTTATAAAGCTAAGTTATTTAAAAATAGTTAAATTGTTGAAACTGAAACTATGAGTTGCCAAACAATAATAATACTCCATTTTCTTGCAGAATTTATCAAACCGTCGAAATATTCGGTAACCAGGTTGATTCCGGTAGTGAATTCATTTGATGAGATGTCAATTAATTTTTTCGTTGCATTTGTTAAATTGGTGGCAGGCACGGTTAGAGCCTGCCAATCTCGAGAAATTTCGGTACACTCTCGAAAAGTGTATCGGCTGCATTGATGCAGTTGATAAGAACATTTTGAGCTATGTAATCGCAGCTGCCAAGAACTGCTAGTGGGAAAGACATAAGCGCATGCGCATCTTTGGTCTTCCATATGACCAAGATGCTAGCAGTTTCATGATATCTACTCTTTGTTATTGATACAGACCTTCAGTACACCAAAAGACAGACGATTAACGTTACTTTATCAATTTTTACGTAAGTTCAATCGAAGTAAAAAGGATACGAGGACAATTAAGAGCGACATCTGATTTTGGAAATAAAACTTGACTCACCAAGTGATTATTGTTAGGTGAAGAAAAATTATGCCTGGGATCGTGATGAACTTGACTGACAGTTGTCTTCGACGTACGCACAGACCTACTGCCGCTGCGGAGGCACTCTTTGAGGCGTTCGCGTTGAGCAGTCAAGTAACTCTTTAAATCCTAAACGCAATAGTAGTCAGAAAATGAACAAAAATCGGTTTAAAAAATATCAATTCAAAAATAAACAAAGAAATACCTAATAAGAATATGAAACAAATGGTACAAATTGGAAATGCTTCTGATTTATTTCCTTCGCTCACAGCTTTTAACAATGCATTAAAATGACAAACTTCTAATGATAATGCTGGCTGGCAAACCGATTAGAAACGGGTAAGCATTAACCGATGTAAAAAAGGTTCCTTACCTTGGAATTCCTCTGAATCTCAGAAATTGCATCAGTGAGGTGTTTATCTTTTGGATTACAATACGCAGCCGACATTTCGTTGAATACGGCCGATAGTGCGTGATTGGAAGAGAAATCTGAGCTAAATGCCAGATTTTTGAAAGACACAACACTGTCCCGTGTTACGACATCTTCAAGGTGAATGGCCTGAAAAATTGAGTTATGAAGGAAGTCATAGGCTAATTAATTGGTGTTATTTTAAACTAAACTTGGAGAAGACACATGTTCATGGAAGAAAAATGAAATTAGGCCAATATTAAAAGAATATAAGTAAGCTGAGCCCAATACGGAAAAATAAAGTATCTTTGGCAAAGAAGGAGGAAGGAAAGAAGATTTACTTTGTAAACGATGTTCTTCTAATGACAAAGTTTCACATCTTATTTGTAGTCATTTGTTAATGATATGCCAATTTGGCCTAAGAAAATAGAGTGACGGTGCAGCCAGGAAGATGGTCTAGAAAAAAGGAACAGGGAAGAAAAGGGTTGAGGATGCACAAGAGAAAGACATCAAGAAAAAAGAAAAGGTAGAGAAAGACTGGAAAATGATGAAGACAACATCGTCACAAAAACAGTTGAACTGAAAATGATTTAACTGGGGAAATACTGAAAAACGAAGGGTGTTGTGATGGCGGAATCTAGGTGATAATAATAACAATTTATGAAAATATAACATATATGATATATAAGGCAAATTTGTTCTTCTGAGAAGAAAAAGGTTATAATTTTAATTCTCAAACGGCAGCTAATTCACCCGTTGCTAATTGAACAAATATTTTTGATGGAACTGGCACTTGAAAGAACATACTAGATTATAATGAAAAGATTATGAAAATTCTAACCTGGAGGCCTCCCCACACTTTAATGCCGAGGAAGATGTCCGAGAAATCATCAATGTATACTGTTTGTAGCTCGCTAGGGAAGGATTTGAAGCCATTAAGTAAATAACCAGAAGGTTTATTGCAGAAGTACAACAAAGCGATTAGTCGCGAGTGAAGCATCAAGTTTTCATGATGCTAGAAGGGTCACATTCTTTGCTTTGCTTAAAAACGGAAGGTGAGGCAAGTGGAGACGGAGGAACTAACACATCTGAAGAAGATAAAAATGAAGATATAACAAGAATTGTTTTTATGCTTTTTGACAAATTCTAAAATGTATTCATATAAACTTCAAAGACCTAAATCCATTTCTTTCAAAAATTCACATAAATTTATGCTGAATGCATCTGCAAGGACCGTTTCGTGTCCTTGCAGTATCTCTTAAAACAAAAACTTCTGCGTACCAATTATTGCCAAAATCTTCAATGTGCACGACATAGCCAACAACATCTATCTCGTTTGCAGACATTTGACGCAGGCTTTTCAGAGATTTGATCGGAGTTACCTGAAATTAAAATTATTGTTTATTGAATAAAGCTAGGATGCAACAGCTTACAGAACGCCAAGATTTCCAGCTGTAACCTGCGCTTAACGCCAAATTTGATCGCTAGGCGTGTTGTATACAAACACAATGCTCAAACTAAAATTAACACACGCACACAATTCCTGATACAAACGCTGCAATGTTTCAGGATAAACAGAAATGCTTTATAAGATGTTTTCCATGTTTAGTGAAAAAGGATATTCAAATTTTGGATACCAAAAATTCAAAGCAAAATTCTCTGTCATGCTTGGCTTGGAAATTTTTTCTAGTAATGCAAATTTCATTACAACTTTTGTACTGTACTGAACATACTTAATTGATTAATCTAACAGTGTAAAAAGCTGGAAGTCTAAACAAAATGAATTAATGGGAATATTTTTCATTTCAAAAGTGTCTTGCGGTCTCTTCAAGGAGGCCAAGCGTGTGAAATTCCAATAAAAATTATCATAAATATCTGTCGTCTAGGGAATCATCGTAACGTGCTGCAATGGACATTCAAAAGCAAAGGTTGGGGGCATAAGAGAAAGGGGCAAAGTCAGTCAGTGGGGTCCTAAAAGGTGATTGTCAATAGACAATTTACATAATACTTTAAAATTTGAACTAGACATTCTTGCACATTTTTACATGAATTGTAAGGGCTTGGCTTTATTTTAGCTTTTTTGATAGAAGAAATTTTTACACTTTATGGTTTTCCTCGCTTGTTGTTTGGCCTCGACCATGTACACTCTTCTACCAACCCTGATACATACAACATATAACTCCCCGATCAATAGATCTAAAATTTTAGATTGCAAAATAACGCCAAAAAGTAGATTCATCAACTATCATCACAAATTGGAAACGGCAATGAAAAGCAATCGATAGCCTGTATTATTATGGTTTTCATCAGAACTCTCAATGTACTTAAACTGAGGTACGGATTCTAAAAAAGCAGTTTAAGCGGTTCCAAAGGACACTATAGGTGGAAATCATCTGTAGGAGATTCGAGATCAGACAGAACTATAGATATATGTAGGTACCTGAATTGCTGAGGGAACAGCCCTTGAGATAAGATAATGCGGGCAATGGGTTAACGATGCGTTGTGGATTATGTGAATACAGATATACTAACATACCACTCTCGGTGTATAAACCTTTGACAGGCTTTCGGGACTCGTTGCAATGACGTCATACCGAGTTGAATTCATAGTTGCCAGCTGAAGATAAAGAATTTATTTCTTAACATAAAAAATATTTTGATATTGATGGAGTGATAAGATGAAGACTGGGTGTATTGTAGCAAAATCTGATTGAATTCACATGTAAGTCAAAGTTCAACTACAGTCATCAGCCCTAAAAAACCTGGGATGATAGCAAAATTAAAACACAAACACTACGCCATTATATTAAACCGAAAACAGTTCCATGTTGGGATTGATGCAAAAAACTTGACGGATTATACTACTCGTTGGGGCTTTGAAATTGAGATTTACGGAGACAGTGTTTGGAAGAGGTGAAATGCTAATTTAAAGTCGACCAGTTTGACGCAAGAGAAACCTTGAAACGATTCTCAAAAGAAGATTGGGTAGATATCCTAAGATTTGTCTATTACAGAAACAAAGAATTCTAGTAATGAATAAACAATTAAAATTCTTAATGCTAGGAAACCTGAACATCAAAGCAATCCAAACGGCTTTGATAACTGTACTACCAAAAATCCAATTGCTGGTTAACTCTTATAGGGTGTGTTAGTTACAAAACCAAAATACAGCTTAAATTGCTGAACGATAATGAAGTTAAATTTCTTTGCAAGAAATCCATTGATTAAGAAATCCAGTCGCAAACTGCACAAAATTGCAAATGCTTGGCAAATAACGGAACAAAATCAGCTCTCGTTTGAAAATTATATAAATTTCAAAATTATAAGCTATGCCGAAACCAAAATGCCCTGTTTCAGATATGGCTCATTAGGAAACTAGAATGGACTAACAAGTTCAAATTCTCAACCACAGAAAAATTGATTTAAAATTAATCGAGATTGAGATAAACGGATTTCAAAATTTTAAGCAACTCGTCTTGATTGCGGAGACATTACCTCTTAAATATTAATGCAACCTTGCCCTACCCTATGTGTTTATCAGCGTCGTCAGCTGAAATATCGAACAGCCATAAAAAACACAAAGGTACCTGGAATGCTGACGCACTTTGTTTGTACCTAAATAGCAAAAAAATGTATCGATAATCTTGTCGTATTGTAACAACATCACGTTAGACATATTTATTGCAATAATTCGTATGGGAAAAGAAGCCAAGACTCGGGGAAGTCTCGTTAAGGTCTGATGACGTTGGCAGGCTGGAACATCTAGCTTTTTTGCCCAAATTGAATTAAATAATACAAACAAACATTGTGAAAAATAAAAAAACAGCATTCTCAGTTAGGTACTGGTAGACACACAAAAACACCGGTTTGTGACTTTGAGTTCATCATTTCTTAACAATTTCATGTGAAAAATATTACGAATCACGATCGCATATGAAAACTATTTGATTCAGGCGACGAAGCAGAGTTTGCCAGTAGCGATTTCCTCATTTTTATCTGTCTGACGGTCTATTGAAACGCCTGCAAAACATTTCCTTTCATAATTTGTATTACCGACTTTGCAGGCTCAACGAAGACGTGGAGAATTGAAAGGATTTCCACAAAAATCCATAATCATTATCATTGCGCCTATAATGTTGTTTCAGGTATAGCCTATATTTCTTACAGATAGACAGGTTGTTTGTTTGAAGATACGGGAAGGGTGAATTGATTTATCGAGCAAAAGTGGGGAAGGGTATGGGAGAAAGTGAAGTAGGGAAGGGTATGAGAAAAAGAGTCTAACTCATTGCAAGATTCCAACTTATTCCGTGTAGGCTACTTACTAAAACCAGCAAATAGGAAAACATATACCTTGAAGGAGAGACCACAAGGTTGTAAATTTTCAATCGAATTCCTTCTTTCCAGGTAGATTGGATATCATCGGTTGGCTTCCAAACTGTGAGGTATGATTCTGAAAGTGTGCGGAAACAGACAGTAACAGAAGTTACGAACAGAAAGACAAATTTAAAATGGGGAAAATTGAAAGCGTCTAGCCTGATTTCGGCTTGGACAATGCGATAAAGGTGATTTCATGAAGAAGCAACACCATAGAGACAAAACCACTAATTTTAGCCACGAAAAAGTTGATTAAGATAGCCGGGTTGGAAGCAACAACCGTCACACCTTAACTGGTATAGGTTGAAAGGCACATAGCAGCAAAGAAATAACTGCAAGTATTTCACAAACCTGACAATTGCTTTTTTCCGACACAGAAGGGGTCCACGACTTTGAATTTTTGTATAGCAATAACAACTCTCTCAGGAAACTTGAAAAAAACCAAATTTAAAAAAAACGTCATAAAACGTATTTCGAGAATTTCTAAATTTTGACCACATAAAAGAAAAACACGGTGAAAAACCTGTAAAATATTTACAGATTTACAAAGATACAAACAGTATGAAATGCTTTGAAGTCTTTGATTTGATCAATCGCAATCAATTTATTCTTATATATAAAATCTACAATGTAGACAAAAGATTATCGCAAAAAAGATTCTTACATTTTCTTGAACATCTTTCCAAGCATCTTCAAACTTTTTCTGCATCAAATCTCTCTCCTTCTCATCTTTTTGTCTCCGATATTGTGCCAAGGATTCTCTTTGACTATCGCTCAAACAAAGCTGCAGATAGAAAAATTTCAAAAATCCCTTCTAAGCGACTGATTAATTTACCGTTGTTACATTATTAGACACTACTCGAACACATTATAAAAAGTTAATTAAAAAAAGATAGAAAAAGGGTTTTTTTCAAAAAAATAATCTACTTGAAAAATGGCTATGAAAAATGTACAGCTGCATAAACGGATAGTAAAAATAAAACCAGGATCGTACATACAGAAGTTGTCACACGCAAGTACCACCCCAACAAATTCTGGTCTTACTTCTATCAATTAAGACGACATTTTAAGATCAATTAAGACCTTAGTAGTTACATCACTTGAATCAAAATCCACAATAACCATTTATTACCAGTAATCGATTTATTACCAATTATTGCGTCCCTCTTGCACTTTTTTCTATCCCTGTTTCACAGAGTGATCTACTATATTTCTAGTGTTTAAATCATCAAAATGGGCCAACTTTCCTTACAACAGTCGAATCTTATTATCCATTTGGACTGATCACCGTGTTATTGTTTACTAGGCATAGGGACACAACATTGGATCATAAAGTAAGCGAATGGCAACTTTAAAGAATAACTAGCCTGGGCAAATAATCAACACGAAAAATATTTGATATTCAAATTTTTAAAGGTATCATTCGGAATCAAACCTCTAGCGACGCTGGGTCATATACTGATTCAAGCATTTCGTAAAGCTCTCGGCCATTCTGAACATCTGCAATTTCTTTTATGGATGAGGTAACAGATTTTCGACGGGATATTCGTTTATCTAGAAAATGGGAAAGTGCAGAGCCATTGAATACTGATACAAGTAAAACGATTTTATTCCAAGAAGTAAAACGATTTTATTCCAAGAAGTAAAAAGATTTTATTCCAAGAAGTAAAAAGACTTTATTCCAAGAAGTAAAAAGATTTTATTCCAAGAAGTAAAAAGATTTTATTCCAAGAAGTAAAACGATTTTATTCCAAGAAGTAAAAAGATTTTATTCCAAGACATTATGCACATAACATTTGTCCAAGCTATGAAATTACTTTTATACCAGCAATCTGACAAACTTCCCTTATTGAAGACAAAACAACTAGAGGGAACTAATCTTTGAACGTTATTTTCAAGATCTGGAACAAAATTCAAAAAACAAAAACAAAAAACGCCAACCTCTTTGCTGCGCAGAATTTTCAAATTCTTTTTGGATGCTGAGATAAATCTTTTCCATCCTCTTTTGCTTTTCATTGTTATAACCTCTTGATGCCTTTTGTTCCTGCATTGAGTTCCTAAATACACATCCACTGTCTGTCTTTTCCATCCACTTGAATTAAAAATAATGCAAGTAACAGACTATAATAAGAAGTATTAATTTATTACCAAATCAGCTGTTTAATGCTTCTTACATCACATACAGTAAACGCTTTAAAAAGCATTGGGAAAATTTGATTCTAAAAATTTAAGCTCTGAATATTGCCTACAGAGTCAGGAAAACATTACGGTCGCACGGGCACTGACCGGAGGAAGGTCCACGAAAAACGATAGAAGATCCTATGACACACCCAAGCCGCGCCCACTTTTATTGTTTTGTGAGGAAGGTTTGCCTTCTGGGATGTTTTTGTCTGGAGGAAGGTTATCAACTTTTCTGGACTCTGATTGCCTAGTATGCAATTTTTAGACAATCTTACACACTTTAGACAACAACATTTTAGACAGGAGGTACATCTTGTTTAACAGGTGTTTCACAGGTAAAAAGAGGCTTTTGTTTCATAAGAGCCATTTCATGAGAATGACTTCGACTTTAGAGATTTTAGTACCCTGTGTCTCCTAATTCTGATGAGTGGTGATATAGAATCGTGTCCTGGTCCCTACAGCAGAGACATCCCGGCTTTGAAACAGTTACTTAAACAGAGAGGCTTGGCAGTTTTCCATCAAAACGTGCGTGGATTGTTTTCTAACATAAACCTTGTTTCAGAACTTTTTCAAAGCTTCAGTGGGATCGATATACTAACCCTAAGTGAAACGCACATACAGAAAGACAGTGAAAATAATGGACTGTATGATATCCCTGGCTATTCGTTTGAAAGCCGGCCACGAAATTCTGGAAAAGGGGGCGGTGTTGGTGCCTACATTTCCAATAAGGTACCCTGGGACAGGCGAGAAGACCTCGAGGACAAAGAATTGGAAATTATGTGGATTGAGGTCTGGCCTAGTCGTGAACATTGCAAAGGTATTTTGATCGCAATAATATACCGGCCTCCAGATAGTTCCAAATACCTGCGAAAGGATTTCAACGCACGCTTTAATTCCTTGTTAACAAAGGCTGCAGAAGAGTGCAAAGAAACTATGATTCTTGGGGATGCGAATATAAATTTTCGAATTGAAAATGACAACAAAGAGCTGAAAGCAATCTTCAGTGTGTTTGGTTTGAAACAAATTATTGCAAAGCCTACGAGGATATCAGAAACTACAGAAACATTGATTGATGTCATCCTTACAAATAATCCTTCGAACATCGCAAAACATGACGTCATACCGACCAGCATTGGAGATCATGACATGCCTGGTTGCGTTCATAAAATAAATAACAGTTCTTTTAGACCGAGGGTTATTACTTGTCGGGATTATAAAATGTATAATCCGGAAAATATGAAATCAGATTTACAAAATGTGGACTGGGCTCCATTCTATAACCAAATAAATGTGAACGAGGCTTGGTCGATGATGAAAAGCATCCTTCAAAATGTATTTAATCATCACGCCCCGAGAATATTCAAGAAAGTAAGGGGAAAGCCAGCACCGTGGCTAAACAGTGAGGTGAAGCGTCTTATGAATGAAAGAGATAAACTGTTAAGAAAATCAAGACGTACTAAAAATCAAACAGACATCTCAGCATATAAATGCATGCGTAATAAAGTGAATACAGCTGTCAGAAAAGCCAAGTCAATGTACCACAAGGATTTATTGAAAGAAAATTCAAGGGATCCAAATAAGTTTTGGAAAACACTAAAATCAATTTACCCAACCAAGTCGAGCGACAAACAAAGTCCTCAATCTTTCGAAATTAACGGCGATAAAGTAAAAGTCCCAAGCAAGATAGCAAACGCATTTTGCTCCTTTTTTGCTAATATCGTAACAACCTTGAAGGAAAAGGCTTTCCCGTTATGTAACTTCATATGGAGAAATCAACCCAACTTACCCACAAAAACAGTTAGAAAGTTTATGTTTAGAAAGGTATCAAAACAGGAAGTTGAGCGTGAACTTAAGTCTATAAAGAGAAATAAAGCAACTGGCTTAGATGATCTGCCACCAGGTTTGATAAAGGACTCTGCTGAGTCAATATCGGCTCCCTTGACCCATCTTATCAATATGTCACTCATGACCAGTACCTTTCCCGCGGACTGGAAGGCAGCTAAAATCATTCCTACTCATAAATCTGGTGCACGCTCTAACTGTGATAATTACCGACCAGTTTCAGTTTTACCGATACTATCCAAGGTGATTGAAAAGATTGTTCATCGTCAAGTTATGAAATTTCTAGACACAAACAAGCTCTTGTCAAAATACCAATATGGTTTCAGGCCCAAATTATCAACTGAATATGCGGCGACTATATTGTTGGATGACATACGGAGAAGCTCGTCGGAGCAGTCTTTGTTGACCTTAGTAAGGCGTTTGATACCATAAGCCACGCCATACTACTCGAAAAACTTGCGATTTACGGAATAAAAGATAACGAATTGGAATGGTTCAACGACTATCTGTTCTCCCGAAAGGCAGTGGTAGCATTCAACGGTTGTATCTCAGATGAGGAGAACTTGTTAACAGGAGTTCCACAAGGCTCAATACTTGGCCCTCTATTGTTTCTTATCTCTTTCAATGATGCTTTAGAAGTCATGGAGTATTCAAGCATTTTAAAATATGCAGATGATACTGTTTTGTATGTGGCAGGCAAAGAAATTGATTCAATT